TCGTTCTTATGTGTGTCGTTTATTAGTATTATAATTATTGTTTGGGTTCGGTGAAAGTTGTTATGGGATTGAAATTTTTTGCTATATATATATATATCTGTGTGTGTAAATATAGATATTTTAAAAAAACCCAAGGGCAATTATTTTAAAGAGAAAATGGTACCGATAGGTTGTATGAGTGGACACAAATAGACACCCAACCCATACGGTGCAACACACACAAAAAGAAAAAAGAAAATTAAAAACCCAAAAGAAGATGATACATATAAGATCAATCGGGTCGACCCAATTTAGTTCTGCCTCTGTCTGTAGTTCTCGGAAGGGAACCAACTAACAAATTGGTGAGATGCGTATCATTACCCGAAGTAACCAAAATACCATCCATTAGATTCCTTAGCTCAAATAAATCTATATTTTTCTTCTTCCTCCTAGAAGTGTAGACCTGTCATTCATCGTCCGAAGATTTTTGCTCATTCGGATGAGGCGGTAGTGCTGCAGTAGAAATATTGCTAACAGTTGTGCCCATAAGAGGTTCAAATGTATGTGAGGTAAGAGTTGTCGCGTCTATCTCTGATTCTTCCCGAAGATGGGGAGCTGGAAGGTTCTCCTGATTATCAGTCCGTGTAGGTAGGGGTCCTTCAGTACTGTTTTCAATAGGATTTGAAAGTGTAGGTTGCTTAGCAGGGCCATCCAACTTCTCATCAATCGCAAAAATAATATTTTCAGGGGGAGGGTCCACAGGGGCAATAGAATCAAACAATAAATCCTGTCCTGTGGTAGTTTTCTCTCTAGGTGGAACAAATATATCCTTAGATCTATCCTTATTCACTTGATTTTTAGATTTCAAATTAGGAAGAAGTTTATTGCATTTATCAAGGGTATGCCCAAACATCTTACAATGAGAACAATAAGGAGGTCTATGCTCCATGTTGATTTGTTGCCAATATCCATTATGAGTTGTGCCAACCAGCCTTCATTAGCATCAGGTAAAGTAATATCTCTTTTAACAAATATTCTGGTCACTGAAGGTTTGGTAAGGTTGAAAGTGGGTAGATCTAGTTTCATAGGGTCCCCAAGTATGACACTAATAAAGTAAAATACTTAAGAGTAAAGATCTTGATGATGAAAAAAGTGAAGCTTGAGACCAGGTAGACTAAGCCATACCGGTACAGTAGGAGGTTCATGATTGGAGTCAAAATTTGAAGACCACTTGAGTAGCTTCATTTGTTTACCAGCAATGTTAAGTTATTTTTTTGAGAAAATTCGAGTGTAGTCTTCAAGCACGGTTAACTAAATCAATACATGTCTCCCATCCATGAGCCCCACCTTCCACTTTCCTGCTAATTTGAAATCATCAAAACCTTTTCTGATAACTTCCATAGGTGGGTGTCCCCAGTGAAATTTTTCAATAAGGGCAAATTTGAATGTCAGTTAGGGTTAAAATTTCTAACTTAGAGAAAAAAGTGTTGCCTTCTCACTTTTTCTGCTTGCATTCTTAATAAAGGGACAGTCATATGTACTATCACGATACTACTTATAACTTGAGGGGAAGACAACCGCCGTCTCCCCCTGAGCATTACCTACCATGTGGGCAAATGAGACTTTGCCAGGTTCCACCGAAGAAGGAAGCTCCATCACAACAAGGAGAAGTCCTGCCAAGTAGGGCAGAGGGCAAAAATGACGAGCCGAAGAGGTCGGGCAAAGCTGCGCAGAAGATACGAACCGAGACGTCTAAATTGTGACAGTCTCAGCCCGACGAGGGAAGCAGTGAAAACTGCAGCTCGACGAGGAAAGCCGTGCAGAAGACACGAAGGAGGAGACGAAGAAGTCGTCGAAGCCCTTCATTGTTGGGCACGAAGGAGGAGACGACGATTGCAGAGGAGATGGACGAGCGCAAAGTCCTTCATCATCGAGTACGAGAACTTCGACGTTATCGAGCACGGATTGAAAACCAAAGGATTCAAACCAGGGTTTCGACATCGGCCGAAACCCTAGCAGAGCAACTTGCCACCGACGCCATATATATATATGTGTATGTATGTATTTATATATATATATAACTGTATGTGTGTGTGTGTCTCTCTCTCTCTCTCTCTCTATATATATATAGGTATATATAGATATATATATCTATAGGTATATGTATATATACACACACCTATACATATACATATACATATATATATATATATATATATATTTGGGGAAAGGAGCATTAACATGTTAATCACAAAAGTTGAGTACAAAGATGGTGGTGAAAGAGGGTACCCCGAAGCTAAAATCCAAAAAAGATACATCACACACCCATAAGGGGGTTCCTCGACCACTTTACAACTTCATGCAAGATCCGCCAAAAAAGAAAAATAACCAAAACAACAAACTAAATACAAAATCGTATACCCAAAACACAAAAACGTATACCCAGTTATCTGTACCAAAAAATTCAA